TTATCATAAGGAAATTTTCGACAAGATAAGAAGCCTGGTGATTATAAGGGAATATTTAACTAGAAAAGTATCACGTTTAATGATCTTAAGGGAATACTCAACTAGATAAGTGACTGAAGATTTGTGAAAATTGACGACTTAAGACATAATCTCATTAACTAGAAAAACTACTTTGTGGCTTCTTGAAGATTTTTCTCACTCGGCGATGTATTTATATTACTGTTGTTGTTGTGTTTCTCATCTTCGCTAACCAGATGTCAAGTTAGCGAAGATGGCAGTCACGCGAGTTATGTAGCAATAATGTTAGCTATCGCAGTCACGTTAGTCGTGACAGTCACGTTATCTGTGTGTGTTCACGCTAGACGTGACCACTGACATGATCTGTTCGGATACGTTACAATACACCAGATAAGGCCAAAGCCCCCACCCACCTCTCAACCCCCATCCCCTACAAATACCTCATGCAATGTCACCTGATCATAAGGGCACATCCCACATACCATAACCCAGTGTTGCGCGCCATAAGACAGCTAACAAAAAATAATGTGTTTATTATTTTTCTATGGGCTGTAGGTGAAACGTTACCAGGATAACGTTCCGCATGACTGATTCCATTATTATGTTTTTATCTAAATGGGTCTGGTGTACTGTCGCCGGACATAAAGAAAACAGTGTAAACATCTTTGTAGCGATAAGCGAAACGTAATATATATATATATATATATATATATATATATATATATATATATATATATATATATATATATATATATATATATATATTGCAAAGATTTTTAGAGTTTGTGTCGTATGTTTGTATTTTAGTGTCTGTCATACTGTGTGTTCTTTTCTTTATGGTCTCTGTTATATGTAGGTCATGTGTTCTGTCTATATCTGTGGTCTGTATATATATCTGTAGTCGCTCTGTTATATGTAGGTCTCTGTGATCTGTCTATATCTGTGGTCTCTGTGGTCTGTCTATATCTGTGCTCTCTGTATTATCTGTGGTCTCTCTGTTATCTGCAGGGCTATGTGGCTGTATATATCTGTGTTCTCTCTGTTATATGTAAGTCTCTGTGGTCTCTCTGTATTATCTGTGGTCTATGTGGACTGTATATGATATATGTGTTGTCTATGTTCTTTCTGTGTTATCTGTGTTCTCTGTGTTATCTATAGGTCTCTGCAATCTCTCTGTTGTCTGTAGGTCTCTGTGTTCTATCCTATTCTATGGACTGTGATCAGTCTATTATATATATGGTCTCTCTATAATGTATATGGTCTCTCTGTTATCTGAGGATCTCTCTAATCACCTATCTGTAGCAGTGGCGGAACTAGAAAAAAAAGGCCACCCCGCAAAAAAAATTTAAGCCCCCCTATATATATATATATATATATATATATATATATATATATATATATATATATATATATATATATATATATATATATATATATATATATATATATATATATAAAGCCAAAATAGGAACATAGGATTCTCATTGCTGGCCTGTTCGCGTTTTGAATTTAAAAAAAAAAAATTCAATTAAAACAAATTACAATAGCATGTCATGTGTGTAAGTGCATTAGTCTGTTTTAAAAATCTAGTTTATTTTATCTCTGCTATTAACCCTCTTAAGCTCTTGTTGGTTCAAAGAATGTAAAACATGAAAGCTTTGTATAAGTAATGGTGTCTCGTGTTATGTTTATCTTTATGTTGTTTTGTATTTATATTATTAATTTTAAATGCATTTCCTTTTTATACAATGTCATTCTTTAGTAAGTACTTTATAAAAAATAATAATTAAGAGAAGTAATTACTTTTTAATTTGTTTAGTGTAAATCTAATACAAGGAGCTTATGAGCACCCCTTTTTGACTATTTAAAAAAGGGAAATAAGTCATGGAAGTGGTTTGAACGTTTACTTATCTTTGATAAGTTTGGCTGTAAGAGAAAGAGGACTCGGCTTTCACAGTGGTTTAAAAACAAAGGTAAAAAGAATATACAAGAGCGTAGGGTGGTGTCTATAGAATAAAGATAATCCAACCGCAGTTATGGTAATCTTTTTACAAAACAACCATCAAGTTAAAAATGCAAGAAAATTAATTTTTTAACTATAAAATTTTTTAATATGGTCGGCGGTGGGCCCCTAAATGGCGTGGGCCCCCCTCCACATTGCGGGGTCTGGCGGCACTGTAGTTCCGCCCCTGATCTGTAGGTATCTCTGGTCAGTTATCTGTAAGTCTGTGTGGTAAGTTATCTGTTATCTCTAAGATATTCAATGAAATGGTAAGATTGATAATACTTTGGACACATAAGATAAATCCTATAACATATAAACTAACATACAAGCCATGTGAGATAAACCCTGTGGGATAAACCTCGGGATAATCCATGAGATGTATCATCAGAGATTATCACTAAAATTATTCCTAATATAATGACTCATATAATCCTTAAAATAATCCCATAGATATAAACCCTAAGATAACCCTAAGATATAAAGAGCGCATAAGAAACGAGAGATAACATAACAGCCAGCATGTAGAACGTAGCCTGCCAACAACAATCTCATACAATAACAAGCATAAAAACTCAGTCAAAAATGTGTTTACATAATGCAGGCATTTAGATTCACGTTTAAGATGTTTGTTTTTTTTCACAAGTAATAACTTTTTACAATTCAGTGACATTAAAATATACATATCTGTATGCACGAAACTTGCACAAATATTTTTAGACGTAGACTTAGAACACTTGGGATTGTCTCCCTTAGTCCCACAATGCACCACTTAAGTTCTCTCCCCTCTCTTCATATTTTGTTACTCGGGAAGTATCAATTAAAGTTTATTATAGCGTTGTGGAGTTGACTCTTACAAAAAAATATATACAAGAGCATGAAAACATTGGCCGTATTTTTTTAACTTGTTAAAGTACCCACAATTATAACACACACACATACACACACACATAGACACGAATACACACTTCGACACGCTGACAAACACACACTACTTAGGTGCGGATTTGAGATATATATATATATATATATATATATATATATATATATATATATATATATATATATATATATATATATATATATATATATATATACATATATATATATATGAGAATTCTCCTTTCTTAAAAAAAACTTGATAAACTATATAGAACCGCTACCCTTGTCAAACACCCAGCAAATGTCACCGTAAGCTCTCAGCGTCGGAGTGTAGTAAAAGAAGTAGTTTGTTTAGTTATCATTTAAAATAATATTTTCCTATGTACGTAATCTGTACTAAAGAGTGAAGTGCCCCAAAGTCACGCCTTTAGTCCAAAGTCTCAGCAAGTGGTAGCGATACTTTGAATAGAACCGGCCCAGACCGAATCTATTAAAACAGATTGAATTCACGCTCTGGGATTTAAGTCAAGGCAATGAAGCGTAACGAATGACTAAGTGGTGTTTGAGGACGAAAAAGGTAGTATTTGAGGACATTGAATAAGGGGAGGTAAGGCTACTGGGTTGTCGGGTATCTAGGAAAGGTACCATTTGTTGTCACATGGTTGGTCTAGATGGTGGGGAAATGTAATATTGTAATGTAAACAAAAAGAAGAAAATTGGTTATAGTAGCCTCCCCTATGTCTGTTTGCTTAGGTATTCAAGGACAATTAAACGTGTGATAGTATACAAATTTGGATTGATTTAAAGTTTTATGAAGTTGAACGTTTGAAGAAAAATGCGCTACGAATTTCAGTACTGTTAAAAGTATCATTGTAAACAAATTTTGATTGATTTTAAATTTTTTTAAAGTTAAAATTTTGATCAGCAAAAAATATTCCCCTCTATTTAAAACATAGAGCACACTGCACAGGCCTGATTGGGTGCTGCCGAGGCATGAATAGGGTATCAAATCTCAAGTGTCGGTTTACAATGTGTACTTGAGTCAACACAGCTTTAGTTGGTACCTGACATGAATTTGGAAACAAGCGATGGACAGATCTCTAGATCTATTGAAGGTTGTTGATGTTTGAGGTTTCTGAGTTCGTTTTCAACCATATGATTATATCACAAATTAAAATTCATCTAAGAATTTTATTAATTTTTCATTTAAATTACAGGTTGTTTAAAAGCTTAGCTTCCTTTTAAATTTGTTTCAGTTGCGTTGTTTTTGTCGGTTTGATAATTTTTTTTTAATGTGATAATGATTATGTTTTTAAGAATTAAACTTTTGTTATTGTAAACTTTATTGTTACTTTTTCAAAGCGAACCATCATGTTATTTTTTTTCTAAAATTTAGTTTTTAAATTTTTACTTATTTTAAGGGGATTATTCAGAAGGGACGAGGCATTGCAATTTATAATTATAAGAAAAATATAGAAAGAAAACTGGGCGGTTAATCGAGATTCTTCCCACGGCCAATCTTTTTTTTTTTTTGCAGAAAATCAATTTTGATCGCTCCAACCAAAACCTAACAATGTTTTAATTGACAATATTTTAGGATGTGAAAAATAAAATATACGCTTGGTTTAAATTTGCGGATTTTTAAATTTGCGTGCGTTCGAAAGCGAGGCAAGTCGCGTGCAAATCACAAGAGCATTAAAAAAATTATTGATGAGTTAAGGCTCAACTGTGGGACGAAGTGGTCTAGCGGCAGAGAGCTGGACTACTAACCCGTACGTCTCGAGTTCGAATCCGAGTTCAAGTCAGCAGATCGTCCCTGTTCTGATGGGTACCTAAATCACGTTAGGGAGAGTAAAGGCGGCTGGGCATAGTGAAGGCGGCTGGGCATAGTGCTGACCACACTATCTCTTCACATGCCGAGGTCACAGAAACAAGTGAACTCTACTTCACTTGCCCTATAAACCGTTAGGTTTGAAAGGGAACAATACTTTTTTTTTTACTTTAAAGCGTAACTGATAAAATTTACCAACGATGTAATCCGTAAGAATGTATAAAAACATGTTTCCTTGAGGTTTAAAAACAGATTTGATCCACTCACCCGCTGCTAAAAATATCCAAACAGCGGAGACCAGAATGGCCAACAATGGCTTGAGATTTGAACCCATTCTCTTCGTGTTTGACTTGGTTGATCTGGCGCTTGCAGCAATACAGTTTGTATATGATGGATTCAGTACAGATAGCAGCGAGTTCTTTATGTAAGAGTGTAATGCTTACACGTGTAAGTTCGGTAACGCTGGTAGTGAAACTGTTATAGGAGTTATATCTTTATCTTGGCGGTTCGGTATTTTTAGAACCAGATTTCAATCTAGTAAAACTGAACAGAAAAACATAGTTTAGGTGTTTTTTTCTCAAACAGGTTCTAATTTTTTTAACGATACAAAAAGATCGATTGCATTTCTTGAAGAAATGTTTCAATTCATAAACATCATCTGGAAAAAAAACTGTAATAATAATCTAGGAAATTAACACTTAACAAATATAGCTCAAAAGATGCGCATTCATTTTGGTAACATTCTTCACCATTTAATTTATTTAGGATTTTAAAAAAAAAATAACTATCGTTAATTATACACCGAATACATTAATTTGAGTGCTAACATGTTAGGTATTCAAAACACAATTTATTTATTATTATGTCTTACTCGTGATTTAAAATAAAATATAAAAAGTTCTTACATTTTTTCAAATCCTAATAGCACAAAATGGAATTATTTTATATTTGAAATAAAACTTTTCAACTAAGCTTTATTAAGAGCTTCAAAAGTTTACTATTGAGATGAACATGGAAGTAAGTTAGCAATTTTTGAAAACAGTTTGTAGCTTTCATATTTTATTTTTAAAAAATCAGAAATTACAAGTATAAACAATGGTATAGAAATTGCTAGTTTTAACAAAATAAACTAATAGACTCAAACACTCTATTTTAAAATTAATTTACCAACGATTTCGGAAATCCTAACGGTTCCTAAATTTTCACCTAAAAACACGAATTTTTTTTCCGAAACTTTTTCCTTTTTTAATTGAAAATGAGTTTAAAACTATATTGAAGCTATCTGAGTCGTTATTTCAGTTGGAGTCTGCCGTGTCTACTGAAGAAATCACAAGAAGTCCCGGCACCAAATGGTGACCTGCTAGCCACAGCCCTACAACCCACAGAATGGCAGACGACCACTGAATTTCAGAGAATGGCAGACGACCACTGAATTTCAGAGAATGGCAGACGACCACTGAATTTAAGCTGGTCTCTGTTTAAAGATCGTCCTTTGTTCCCCCATACAATACCAGGTTCGACCAATCACATTACGTCTTCATTAAAACCTACCCACCCGTTTACAATGACCCCTTTAACTTTAGCACCTCCCCCTTTTAACTCATGCCCCCCCCCCAACACCCCCCCCCCCCCTACGAAATCAACCCCTCAAAAAAACTACTTCCGGAATGCGCGTATTATTATTTTCTTTTTCTTTTTTTGAAAACCAGTTTCGAGACAGCTAGCAGGGGGACAATGCGAGATAAAGAAGAGTTCTACGTCTGCGGCTGACAAACAGTGACGGTATTTAGCGACGTAAAGCGAAGCTCCTCGCTAACCGCCCGCGGCACGGGGTCGTGTAAGGCGAGACAGGGGTAAAATAAAATATTGCCCCGGGAAAAAAATGTGTTCGCGAGTAATGGAGTTTTTAATCTGATAATATTCCACACTGAGAAATTGACAAATTTAACTTGTTAGTATATTAAGTAGATATGGGGTAAAAAATGTATTGAACGAATTCTTTTTACAGTTTCTTTTAGGCATCTTTACCGGGGGGGGGGGGGGGGGAAGTACCCCCGAAGCAGTCCACCCCCCCCCCACCCTCCGAGTAAATAGAAAAAACAATAATTTTAATATAAGAAACATATATTTCAACCGGTGCCCCCCCCCCCTCCCACGGCAACTAAATTTTAGCATTTCAAACTAGATTTTTTTGTTTATTTTAAATCAAATATCGAAGGAAAAGAATACATCAAATAAATTATGTATTTATTGAAAAGAAACAGCAGTTATTTGTATAAAATATTGTGAAACAGTTCCTGGAGAGCAGAAACGTTTCAGTTTATCTGATTGTGGCATAAAAGAAGATGGCATAGCCAATACAGCCCACAATGTTTACTGAGATTCTCGACCTTTTAACTTTAAAACAGTGCAATGTACCACTACCCATATTCCAGTCACAACTTATGCCAGGTACCCATCATAGCTGAGTAGACTCATGAGCCTTGGGAAGAAAACTCAACACCGGGAATAGAACTCCAGACTTTCCGGTATTCGATATCTTCAATTTTTAACCCAAACAAAGACATGAACGATTTTTCTTCCGAATACATTTTTTGGACAAAAGTTTAAAACATCGGAAATTTTTTTTATACTTAAGGAGATATATTTAGCCTAGGGCCCAACACGGATGGCCGCTATACATGTTTGTGCACGTCACTTCAATTTCAAGATGGCAAGTGTAACGATTGTGGCCAGGTTTTTATAAAAGTAAAGGCCAAATGGATATGGGAGCGGGCTCGAACAAAAGATGACGTCACTAGCCGGAAGAAACCGAGGATTTTTTTTTGGACGATCCATCTGACACGATCTTCCTTATCACACCGAATATTAGACCTCATTCTTTTGTTGTTTGTTTAGGATACACATTGAACCTTCCTAGTTTAGTGCGTAGTTCTGATTTTTTTTCGTAAATAAATAAACCGAAGATTAAAAGTTGACGTTTAAGTTGTATTCGACTTTGTCGTTATTTTTTGCCCGCGATAACTACATACAAGTGGAGCATTGATTAACTTGACTATGTCGTAATGTGGACTTTTATTGTTTGCCTATGTGCAGAGTTTCTTCCAGGCATCTCTTCGCTCTGCCCCCCCCCCCCCCCGAACGAAATGGAATACATATAGAAAATATATACTTTTATCAGTGTCCGTCCGTCCCCCGGAAATATTTACTCCGCCCCCCCCCCCGAAAATATCTAGCGCCCCCCCCCCCCCCCCCCCCCCCCGGAGAAAAAAGTCTGGAAGAACACTGCCTATGTCGCACATGTGTCCACTGAATTATAATTATTTTGTTTTTCAGTTTTCTGTTTTAAAAAATAATTGTATTAAATAGATTTCTATTGAATTGAATCGTAAAAGAAGTTCAGTTAGATAGTGATAAACATTACTTCGACTCTTTACAAATATGTCAACTATTGTGTGTGAAATACATCTACAGTTTTATTCATATTGATAATATCATGCTGGCATGAAGATCACGCAATCAAATATCTGAAAACCAGAACACGAATATTTTTAACGATCTTATATACGTATCTATATATATAATTCTCTTGGTGGAGACCATAGAAAACACCACGCAGCTTAGTCACCACCCGCATCCCCACCTGTCAGGTGAGCTGTGGTTCACCCCGAATGTTTACAATAGTAGAGCCAGTTCGAATAAGTGACGGCTATTAGGGGCAGATAATTCAGTTTTTAAATGATTTGAAACTAAGGGCGGATAATAAGGTCTGCTTGATATTTTCATTGTCGTCTGTAATGGCTGCTTTCACTGGGCGGAGTGAGGTGGGTGGGGGGGGGGGGTAGTGTCGAGTTCACACATTATGAATTGTTGATAAGTAGAAATAAAACAACTAGATAGCGGCGTATGCTACGTCGCGGGTAAAGCTCCTTTGAATTATTTGAATAATGGATTGGAAATTAAAACATTTTCTGGTGATTTAGTTTTTTCTGAATATATTTTCACTTGTTATCTATAATATAGGATTTTATTTATAATTTTTGTCGTTAAGGTTTTGTTATAATAGTTAGCAGACGATACCCCGTGTATGAAGTTAACATAATTGCATACATTATGGAGCTATATTTACACAGTAACCTATTTAAGGTGAAAGTAGGTCACTAGGTCTAGGTGTGATTTATTTAGTTCGGAGTACGTGTCTAAAAACTGACGATATTTTTTGACGTGTGTGAATCGACGCCACTGGTTCTAGTGAAGTTTGGACGGTTGAGTGAGTGAAGCTTGGACAGTTGAGTGACTAAGTGAGGCATGGACGGTTGACTAAGTGAGGCATGGACGGTTGACTAAGTGAGGTGTGGACGGTTGACTAAGTGAGGTATGGACGGCTGACTGAATGAGGTATGGACGGTTGAGGTTGAGTAAGGCATGGTTGGCTGCGTAAGGCATTGACGGTTGAGATTTAGTGAGTCATGGACGGTTGAGATTTAGTGAGTCATGGACGGTTGAGATTTAGTGAGGCATGGACGGTTGACATTTAGTGAGTCATAGACGGCTGATTGAGTGAGACATGGACGGTTAAGATTGAGTTAGTCATGGACGGTTAGATTAAGTAAGGCATGGACGGCTGACTGAGTAAGACATGGACGGCTGAGATTGAGTGAGGCATGGACGGTTGACTAAATGTGGCATGGACGGCTGACTGAGTGAGACATGGACGGCTGAGACTGAGTGCAGGCCGGGTCAACCCTTCTAGCGCAGGTACGTGGCCCAGGTGTCAGGTGATGAAGACCTTAAAAAACCGGTTCTGATCGTGTCTGCTGTTCTAGACAGCCGACACCATTCAAAGAGATTTTCTTAGCGCGGGCTCCATCGTGACCTAGCCGCATGGTCATTTGAAGCGGTGCAGTTGTACCTGAACGTTAAAGTTGGTCGTAGTTGTGACGTCATTACACCTGGTCGTAGTTCTGACGTCATTATACCTGGTCGTAATTCTGACGTCATTATACCTGGTCGCAGTTGTGTCTACACCTAACTGGACGTAGCTTTCATGTAATTTCATGTCATTACACCCAGTGAAATGGGTCTTACACCAGACAAAAGAATACCCAAAGAAAAGGGTCCTTACTTGTCTATGATGTTCACCATCGTTCATTTTTAGATAAACAATGTCATATTACTCTTAAAATGTCATTATAGTCTGTTAACTCTATGTATGGTGTAATTATACCTGCCTATACTGTGGTTTCTTTATAGCTTTATATTGTGGTATCATTATAGCTTTATATTGTGGTGTCATTATTGCTTTATATTGTGGTGTCATTATACCTTTATACTGTGGTGTCATTATACCTTTATATTGTGGTGTCATTATACATGACTATATTGTGGTGTCATTATACCTTTATACTGTGGTGTCATTATATCTGACTATATTCTGGTGTCATACCTTTATATTGTGGTGTCATTATACCTGACTATATTGTGGTGTCATTATACCTGACTATTATGTGGTGTTATGACACCTGTCTATACCGTGGTGTTACGACACCTGTCTATACTATGGTGTCATTAAAAATAAATGTAACTGCCCATCACACAAAGTACCAGCAACGATTGTGATACCATTGACGACGTCGGCCTTACAAAACCCCCAACTAACTACCAACCCCAACCATAAAACTGTAACTTCAGCTTCGGTGAGGCTGAATGACTTACATCTTATGAACTAAATAACGTGAACAAGCCACTTCACCTTTGCTGAATGTGGATGCTTTATAAATGCGGTCTAAATACCGACGGCATCATTACTCGACGGGCCATTCATCGCTGTATCGCTATTCAAATCTTTTTCACAGGTTATTTTATTACAGTTGAACTCGGTCAGTTGTATAGAAAAGCAAACTAATAGACGAATTTTGTAGTTCTTAAAAAGGGAATTTATAATTTGATTGTCACTCGCAAATATAGATTTTATTTAAGATAAAGATTTTTATTCAAGCAGAAACTTCTGTAGCTACTAATGTATGGGTCAAACATGACTGTGGATAAATTTAAGTCTAAAAAAAATCTTTGTGAACGCTCTGATTAAAAAAAAATGTTTTGTGCAAACAACGAAAAACAGATTCACTTCAAGTAAACATTTTGAATAGATTTTATTCTCATGAAACTAGAGATAAAAATGTGCTCAGCTACTCGCCTGGAATGTTTAGATGAGATCCTTTAAACATTCTTTTCATTGTTGTTTTAGGTTGTTTACAGCAACAAGGGAAGGCACTCTCAATGTGGTCGAACAGCAGTTGTGACTCATGCCTAGTTTTATTCGTATTGTCTTCTTCATCATCGTTATTGTTATCATCATTATTATCATCATCATTATCATCGTCATCATCATCATCATTATCATCATCATTATCATCATCATTATCATCATTGTGATCATCATAATTATCATTATCATCATCATTATCATCATCATTATCATCATCATTATCATCATCATTATCATCATCATCATCATCATTCTC